GGACACGACGTTGTTTTTGTTGTCTCCAAGGTGATCGGTGGGAGACCGCTGTGCAACGTGACTGGGAGACAATCATTTTGGTGCTTTGACTACGTCAAAAGATGAATTCAACGAATGGATGGATTGATGATTGGGAAAGGGAGGATTGGAGGGATGAAAGGAAGGAATCGTTGGATGGATGGATGGATGGATGGATGAATGAATGAATGAATGAATGGATGGATGGATGGATGAATGAATGAATGGATGGATGGATGGATGGATGGATGGATGGATGGATGGATGAATGAATGGATGGATGGATGGATGGATGGATTCAATTAGATGAGAACCTCTGTGCTATTCCCTACTTTAAATCTGAAAATCGCTGCATTTAAATTTGCTTTGGCAATTCGTTGCATACAATATCTTAGTTTTGATAAGCAACATGAAATTTATGATGACACGTGTAGACTCAGAAATTAGACACAGAAGAAATTTATTCTTATGGCTTGAAGACACAAATGAAATGAAATTGTAATTAATTCTAACATATTACGCTGTGTGTGAAAATGGAAATACAACATCTACACAGATGATACTTAGTAGCTGTGTGACAACATTCAAAGGATATTTCTCGGCAACAAAAATAACTTTGTATATTGAATCTCTAGTATCTGTAAACATAATATCTGGGGTACAAGCAAACATTTTTTGCACACAGTGATATTTCTAAATGACGTGATTTCATTTAATAATTCTATCAAATATTAGCTTATTCTTTTAATTCTAGTTTAAAAGAACGACCAAGCAGCCAGTTGTCACGGTACAACGATGTACATTGAGAAGCATATGGTGGCAAGTTTGCAACAGAATTATTATTCCATATTAAACATTCAATACTATCCATTCAATACTCTACATAGTTTGCATTAATTTACATAGATTTTTCCCGTTTCCAGGACGACCAGGTTCATCTGGCGGGCGTGGTTCTGACGTGTTTCCGCAGCTTCATTCTCAACCAATTGTTGGGAGCCATGCAGTGGACGATGAACTCACGTGAGTATGGGCCGGTGTTCCCTTGGTCCTGTCAATCAGATCACAAAAACGACAAATTAGCATAATTCTGCATAAATTTGCATATCAATAGTGAGTTTCTAAGTTCATATTGTTTGACTGGGTTCGATTTTTTGGTTCGTTTGTAAAACTATATGTTCCAAAATCATATCCAGTTGCTTGAGTAACTGCTTTTTGGCGTATCATATTACCTGGATGTCTAACCTTCATCGACGTATATGTTGAGCCCCCTAGCTGATTCGTTTGGTACTGCAGGATCATAGATAGCAAACCGTCCCCTTCTAAAGCCTTACACTTACCTTTGAGTCATAGACGGTAGTCGGGTATGATGACAGTTTCCAGTCAGGGCTTCTCCCGCCTTGCCGCGATGTGCGGGGTGACGGGGTGGGGAGGAGGTCCCTCTGTAACGAGTGCGGCGTCTTGCGGAATAAACTGAAATTGCAGAACAGTTACATGTTTTCATCAAATCTGATGTACCCAGTTATCTTGTAAGTTATGTCAAGCGTAGGTAAGAGCAAGAGTGGGTACAGATGGGTAAAGATTAGATGCTTCTGAAATATAGGTTACATTTGCCTTTAGATTCATTCTTAGTGTGAATACAAGTGTCAACTACAGGTCAGTCATCGATGAAAGATAGCGAATACTATTAGTTGAAACGTCTAACTCCTCTGAGAAGTTATCCAGCTGCTAGATATATTTTGTAGTACCTAAGAATCACATTGTTTACTCAGTATTGCTAATTCAAATCTATAAACTGAACAAATGACCGAATGAATGACTGAATGAATGAATGAACAACATCAAATAAATGAACAAGAATTCGAGGATCTCAGATCTAAGGGCCATGTGGAAACACCGACACACACACGGACACACAAACAGACATACCAAAAACAATACAATTTTTCATGGAGTGGTAATGAACGAAACGTTTCTTCCTTACCTAGGGAACGCCGTCGTTGACACGGACAGGTCGTCGTGGTCCATGTTGACTGACTGTGGCGGTGTGTGCGGGATGGCCGTGAACCTGGGCCGGACCATGGCGGCCTTAAACTTCGGCACGCCGAGCCTCCTCTGCCGGGCCAGCTGCGCCAGGGACTGCGCCGGCAGGATGATGGACGTGGTGCTGATCTCCAGCGGGGGAGGCGTTCTCGTACTGGGTGAGTTAGGAAGGATATTGTTATTGCCTTCGCCAAGAAGGTTATGTTTTCAGAGGCGTTCGTGTATGTGTGTGTGTCTGTGTCTGTGTCTGTAGACACGATAACTTGAGAAGGCTTAAATGTATTGTCTTGATACTTAACAGGTGGGTAGGTCTTGATGAGACCTGGAAATGATTAGATTTTTACCCCCTAGCGGCTTGTTATGGTACTGCAGCTGGACTTCCGGTTTTGATATGTCATGATCTAGACATGCTAGGGTGACGAAATTTGGATGGTAGGTAGCTCTTGTACTGGGGAAGAAGTGACGCGCCCCCTAGAGGCTTGCTCTCGAACTGCAGGCCTATCTGCTTGAAAATACTCAAAAGAAGTAGGTAGGACCATGGTATATACTTTTTAGATTATGATTCAAGACAAACCACAGATTTCCATATCATCCCTTACCTCCTGGTGTAGTACCCCTCCGGGTGGACAGGTGGATTGCTTCTGGTAATTTCCCCGTCATTCTTAGCATCGCCCAGGTGCAGTCTGGGTAATCTGTACGGCGTCTTCACACCTGTCCCCCATCCTGCTGGGTCTGTGGTATCGTCCATATCTAATGTTCTAAATGACGTCACTAAATCTGGTAAACTCCTGCGGAAAGAGAGCGAGAGAGAGAGATGAGAGAGAGAGAGGGAGAGAGAGAGAGAGAGAGAGAGAGAGAGAGAGAGAGAGAGAGAGAGAGAGAGAGAGAGAGAGAGAGAGAGAGAGAGAGAGAGAGAGAGAGAGAGAGAGAGAGAGAGAGAGAGAGAGAGAGAGAGAGAGAGAGAGAGAGAGAGAGAGAGAGAGAGAGAGAGAGAGAGAGAGAGAGAGAGAGAGAGAGAGAGAGAGAGAGAGAGAGAGAGAGAGAGAGAGAGAGAGAGAGAGAGAGAGAGAGAGAGAGAGAGAGAGAGAGAGAGAGAGAGAGAGAGAGAGAGAGAGAGAGAGAGAGAGAGAGAGAGAGAGAGAGAGAGAGAGAGAGAGAGAGAGAGAGAGAGAGAGAGAGAGAGAGAGAGAGAGAGAGAGAGAGAGAGAGAGAGAGAGAGAGAAAGAGAGAGAGAGAGAGAGAGAGAGAATGGTTTAGTCAACATAAAAAAAAACCTTTGCAGCACCAGTGCTGGTTCCTTACACAAATACGTAGTTTAAATCTTAGACTTATCGTACCATTCGTTGAGAGAAAAAACATCGTATAATATCGTTACAAACGGACTGTAGGCATGGATATCTTACGTGTTCTTAGTGTAATGTATTATGATAATTTACGTTGTCGGCGTATATTGTCAGGCCTAAGCAAGTGCGTATATCATGTGTATTGACATCATCTGTACTGCATTGAACAATAGTTAAAAGGCTTTAACCACTCTCTTGGGAGGTAATAAGTTTTAAGGAATGTGATTACTTCGCCGCTAATTAGGTTGGCATGATAAAAGGTCTTTGTGAAATGGGAGCTAGTGTTATCTAAAGCAATAGTTGCAAAAAGGTCGAGAAAATGAACCAGTATTTGTTTCTCTAACAGGTGCCGTTTCATGTTGTAGTGAAGCATATAATGGAATGTTTCTATTTTCCTTGTCGACCGAAACATAGGTTTAGTTTGTTTGTTCTGTTGGCAATCAACCGTTTCCGACTCGACTTGCAGCTGTATGACCTTAGGTTGAAAACATACACTAAACCAATGAACGTTAACTTTTTAAGGATATACATGGGGTTTAAGGGATCCCTTGTCCAGAAGTCTTTCTCAAATACCAAGCTACAAATGGAGATAATGTTAATTTTGTTTTATTTGTTTTCGATAAAATGTGAGTTTTTGTTGGATCATCAACAAAAATCTCGCTTAGTTACAAAGTATGCAAGATCTGAAATCTAGCCGTACCGCCTTCAGAACCCTGTACTTGGAGCGTGACAGAACGTTACGTGACGCTTTCCTGTTGATGTAAGCCTACTCCAGGTTATAATACGTGCCTTCTCCACAGACACCACAATGGCACACAAACACGGACGGTATCGTTTTCAAGATGGCGGCCTGTCTGCTGCTCTCTGTCACGCTATGCACACATTGCCATTGTTGGGGAGTTTCAAGAGTCAGTGGCGCCATTGTACAGTTTGCTACTCTGGGGGCCATGGCCTTTGCCTCCCGCTTCACAGGTGGTGAAACAGTTCAAACATTGGCGAGGAACCGTAACCCTAACAACGTCGGTTGAATGCACGTACCTTGGTCAATAACGACAGCGTTTGTAGTAAAGTTTGTACTGTGCGGTTACATTTCGTTGAACAATTCTTTTGTTGTATGAATTTCAGCAAAGTTATGACAGAAAGAACCACCCACAAGGCTTTATGGCAATCTTTTCTTGTCACAAGACACAAGAATTTCTGTCATAAGACAACTGAATTCAAAACGACACAGCCAAGAGTGCCCTGACATAACGGCAGCGTTTGCAATATATGGTGTTTCTACTATGCGGTTACATTTCGTTGAACAATTCTTTTGTCGTAGGAATTTCAGCAAAGTTATGACAGAACGAACCATCCACAAGGGTTTATAGCAATCTTTTCTGTCACAAAACTGCTGAATTTCGTACGACACAGCCACGTACGTCTCAAGAATGACCCGGCATTCTTGAGACTATCAGCAGCGTTTGGAATGAAGTTTCTACTGCGCGTTACATTTCGTAGAACAATTCTTTTGCCGTAAGATTTCCAGCAAAGTTATGACAGAAAGAACCATCCACAAGGGTTTATTGCAATCTTTTCTGTCACAAGACAGTTGAATTTCGTACGACACAGCCACGACAGTCCCAAGAATGTCCGGTATTCTTGAGACTGTCGAAAGCGTTTGCAATGAAGTTTCTACGCGTGGTTACATTTCGTTGAACAATTCTTTAGTCGTAGGAATTTCAGCAAGGCTATGACAGAACAGACCAGCTATATGGATCTTTTAACAAATTTTTCTGTCACAAGATGGCTGAATTCCGTACGACACAGCCACGACTGCCCCACGAATGTCCTCAAATAACTGCAGCGTTTGCAATGAAGCTTCATATGCGTGGTTACATTTCGTTGAACAATTCTTTTGCCGGAGGCTATGACAGAAAAGACCATCTACAAGGATCTATGGCAATCTTTTCTGTCACAAGACAGCGATAAACTATGTAAGTAAAACAGCAAATCCCGGCTATTAGGAGCATGTAGGATTCTTAATCTTTTAAGAATGCTACCTAGCCTGGGGAAAAGTACTTTTTTTTTTTACTTTAACCGCGGATTTAAGAAGGATGAAGAGTAAGTTACACCTTTTGTTTTTAAACACGAGAACTTTAAGCCATCATTCAGTCCCCCACGATGACTGACACAGTGTCATTACAAGACTACCTCTTAGGTACATAGTTTGCCTTCAATTTGATAAGATCAACAAATATAACCTACAACAGCAGCTAAGCTACCAAACTTTGAATGATCAGTATTCCAAGACCAAAATACATACAAGTTTTAACTGATAGTATGGAATTTTGGCGTGTAGGGCTTTGTTCTTTCTTCACTGTCAGCAAATTCATACGTGGTTTATATATGTAGTGACACTACTTGAGAGTTTGGGCAACAAAGAAAGTACACTAATACTTTTCCACAACCAGTATTCCGGCTATTTTTTTACAAAACATTTCTTTTCCCCGCGGCCGCACAATCTTGTACATTCCTATGATTCTATCTTAACTCACTACACTGTTCCTGCACTATCTGAATACTTTATAAACGTATTTCGTTCAATTTCGCGAATTCGATGAACATTTTTCTAACTCTCTGTACCACTAAAATGTCGCCATATACTCAGACCTCCCGTAAAGCCACGTGTACATAATTTATGACCTGACCCGACTTGTAGTGTGAATAATTCTTTTGTAGCATGGTTACAACCGTCGGTACAGTCTCTGGGCTTTTCAACACTAAACACAAGCTTTTTGAGACTTTGGACCGTTTAATGGCCCACTCTTCTTAAAAGGTTGCAACATGCAAAATGGTTTCTTTTAAAACCTTTAAGATTATATAATTATAGAAAACGTATATCAAAATAGAGCAAAAATATAAGTCTTACCCAAAAACGCTATTTGTTGTTTTGAACAAAATCATATTTGTTTTTGTATTGAAATGCGGCCTTTCGCGAAGCAATATGTCTGCTTGATGAGTTTATTTTTAGTCCATTTCCAAATGATAAATGACCAGAATCTTAACAAGCCACATGTAATCTGAACTGATAGTACTATGTCAGGAGATAGTAAGAGATTTAATATGTATAAACAACGAAATAAAGTAACTCTATCTTCTCATGATGTTTATGTAAACAACCATGTATAAAACAGCAAAAACCACACACGTCTCTTCGTCCTAAACGTCCATGAAATTAACTTGAATGTTGGCGCTATGATTATAGGTTCCGTTTAACTGCCTGTATTCTCTACAATTTGTAGCTATCTGCAAACAATCTTATCAAGTTTTATCTTGTTTGTAGCGTTTGTCTTCCCACTATACAAACTCATGCCGACGTCGCCATACACAGGCCAATTTGGCGGTACGACTTGAGCCAGTTTTGTGAGGAATGTTGTGTAGTACCGGTGTTCCCTTCGACGAACGGCTGTTTAGAATTTCGAGTTTTGTTAACAGTATCTGACAATATAAGTCACCAGAATGATCCGTTTCGTCTGTGTACGAAGTAAATACTAGTGTTTGTGAGGAAACCTTGTTGTAGACACAGGGTAAACTGCTACAACTACAACACTTGAAACAGTATCAACCGCTCAATGACCTCATTCAGAGCTTCCTAGCAACAAACTACGGGTACAATGGTGCGGGGTAGACACTACGGGTAGAGAAACCAAGGCAACTTACTCTACGTTTCTTCTACGTCTCCTAGTCCTCGGGCCTCTCCTGTTCATACCGTTGGGTGGTGGCCCGCCATGTTGAACTTGAAACCACATAAGATCAGTCCGTTCGTAAACAGGAGTCCGGGCGGCTCCATGATACTGTAAACATGTCTATTCTGTCCGTATGTAGATAAGCAACCTGATATGGACCAGGTATTGTGAATAGGGGCACGTGACCACACCTGTCAGACCAGTAGGAACAGGTGTCGCTCAGCTTTTGTTGGACGGAATGGCTGCAGTTTTGCTTGGTATCGCAGGTGGCTCTTTTCTTCTGAAGCCAAGCTTGGCTTATGGAATGCTTTTGTTCACTGTACACGAACTGCCTGTACCCTCCATACTTTTGCCTTTGTTGTCAATGCTATATTGAACAATAGCGCGCGATAGTTTCTATTGCGAGGATACATTCGTCGAACAATTCTTTTGTCGTCGGATTTTTCGGCGAGGCCATTACAAACCTAAGTTGTTTTTATGCTACAACCATATTGACTAATAGCCTAATGCGCACCAACACAATACACAGTGGAGGTCTGTGACTATGAATCTATGACTATGGAATGAACAGTCTAGTGTTGACTGAAAACTACATTAAACGTTTAGAGAAATAAGTCATCAATGTTTTATACATGTATATCAATTTATCTGTTAAGATTAACTCATCACTAACACCAAATCTCAAGGTCGCCACCTTCTAAATCTCTCCAATAAAGTTAATCAGTAACGAACTTACCGGGAAGTTTTTCATATATACGACAAGGGTCTGGCATTATTGGACGCTTTGTAAGATTATATTGAACTAACGCGATAGTAAATCCATTCAAGGTTATAAGTAAATAGCAACCTGGCGGTGTTGTTTGGCGTTGCTATCACGAGATAGAGACCACTGAGAACACAAGGGCCCATTTCGAAGACGACTTTCTGTGGCGCAGCATAAAGACTTGCAGCTTTTTTGCATCTAGGTAAGTGAAATGTAGATAAACGTATGTTCTCAGTATGTGTTGTTGTTGTTTTTCGTTGGTGCGAACTATACAATTACAAATGTTTTGTTGTAAAGCACCTGCTTCGATTTCGAGCTATCTATCCTTGTAGTAAATACAGTTAAATCTACGCCGTAGCTGTGTTGGGCAATATACTCTTTTTTGCACGCCTGTTTCTAAGTCAGTTTCTGTATACATTACTGAAAATCTTATCCAGTCAAAGCATCACGTTCAGAAGTCGGCTGCAACACCCTTCTTTTCTATTTCTCATAGGTTTTCTACAACCATGCAACATTCTCTTGACAGAAAGTTTTAGGATGTGACAATTACAAGGAGACAACACAGCAATAGCTCCGTCATGGGGTGTTCTTGTTCAAAATCGAATCGTGTGGACGTAGTTGAAGACCGACGGCCAGTGAGGAAGGTGTCGGATAAAGATGACAGGCAACCTACACCGACAAGCACGCAAGGCCCACAGCGCACAGACGGCAAAGGTCCTTTAAAAGATGGAGTTGAACAGAACCGACCAAATAAGGAGTCTCTGAAAGACGTCAGCATCGCAGATATCAAGCAAAACAGTGGTGAAGAGGGCAGCAAAGTACGAGTAGAAGCTGCTGTCCATGAAGAGCCAAAGGAGGCAGCCGCCGTCACGACCGTGGAACAAAAGAAAAAACAGACTAGCCAAAACAATCAACATAGTAAGGGCACCGTTGCAGAGTTACAGGGAAGTAGTGTTGAACAAGGAAACGTCCAAAAGCATTCAACAGAACGTTCAGCGCAAAACAACAAAAGAGCTGATACCACAGCCGCGCAGCAGAAAACACCAAAACACCGAACAAAGAAGGACCTCATCCCGGACCTTCAAGTGTTCAAAGACTTGGACCAACGTGCAGTTCAGGTGACATAAACCCTTGTCATTTTGCAGCAATAGTTTTTGCTTAAACCAACATATAGTGAGAGAGTGTTGAGGTAACAAGGCCTTGCTTGCCTGTTTACCCAAGCTTTGCGACAGGTTAGGTGGACATTGATTAACGATCCTATCATTTAGGCATTATTCGCTACTTATCTGACCACAAATCAGCTAAGTCAAAGTCTAGATATTTTTAGTGGGGAAAGGAGATTGGCACATACACAACCTTACATTCAAGCTTCCAACGAAGTCAGGACATTGTATTACATTGTAAACGTTTCCTGCACTTTCTAATGTGTTTTATTATAGATCTGCCACCTTTTTACAATATATCGCACGCTCTCGCCAAATAGACATGGTGTCCGAAGTTGTTGGAAGTTTGTGAAGCAAAACTGTACACAGTTTTGGGATGTGATTTGAAGTTGTTGACAGATGAAATCTATTTCCCAGGCGCCCGAGGGCCATGCCTCCATCAAAGACCTCGTCCTCTACCTAATCCAGACCGCCAAAACTCCGCTGGAAAAAGCGCGGGTCCTGTTCCGTTGGGTGACGTCACACATCCAGTATGACGTAGTGTCTTACGTCACCGGCCGCAGTGGTTCCAAAGACGTCACACCAGGAGGCGTGTTCAAGACAAGAATGTCAGTATGTCAGGGCTACGCGGATTTGTACAACGAGATGTGCAGGTAATGATTCTACTATTTGCCTCCATGAAAAATGGAGTTACTGTTTTGGTATGTCCATATGTGTGTGTGTGTGTGTGTGTGTGTGTGTGTGTGTGTGTGTGTGTGTGTGTGTGTGTGTTTCCGCACGGTCCTTATAGTTAGAAATGAATCACTTCTACATTTGGTACATGACCTCCTTGATAGCTGACTGCTGGTTTTTTCATTACATAATCTCCTTGACAGCTGTTCTCCCAACACGATAAAGAAGGGGCTTGCAAAAGGAGATTGCAAACTGCTTTAATGGAGGTCTGAGATGTCCGAATTCATGTTATCCAGTAAGCTGCTTCAGCGAAAATATAACCGCCAGTGCAGAGAGTTACTAATCCGTGGTCTTAATTTTCTTCCCCTTAGATTGGCTGAAGTAGAGTGTGTGACCATCAGCGGCCGTTCAAAAGGTGGGTCTTACAGGGTAGGCCAAAAATTCGGCCCCGGTTCAGACCATGCGTGGAACGCAGTGAAGATAGAGGGAAGATGGTACCTGCTCGACTGCACCTGGGCCGCCGGAAACGGTGATCTTCAAAAAAGAACCTTTGAGTTTAAGTATAACGAGCATTACTTTTTCACTGACCCGGAAGTGTTCGTTACGAACCACCATCCAACGGACAACAAATGGCAACTGTTAGAAAAGCCAGTATCCTTTGATGTTTTCGAAAATCAAGTGGAATTGAAGCCCCCATTTTTTACCCTTGGCCTTTTGCCACAGTTTCTGAGTTACACCAAGTGCCCAGTTTGCACACAAAATGGCCAAGCAACCATTTCTATCAAAATTCCCGAACCTATGGCTTTCACGTACAAACTTTATCCCTATGAAGGTGGATATACTCAGAACGAAAATGTCCTGTACGAAATTGTTAACAACGTGGCCATGTTCACAGTAGTACCAGCTCAAAAGGGAAGGTTCTTGTTCCAAATATATGGTAAACGTGGCACTGCCAATGGGCAACATGACGAAATCTGCTCGTACATGGTTGACAGTGATGGTCCAGTGTCTGACCACTTGCCGTTTCCGCGCTTGGAAACCTCTACATGGGGTCCTGGTCCTTGGCTTCTCGATAAGTTCATTTCTGACATCAGTCATCCTAAAGCCATTATCACGCTCAATGAAGGAGATACTAAGATAACCTTTCAGGCCGCACGACCCCTTCACTATAAATGTAACCTGAAAGAATATATTGTAGATGAAAACAAGTACCGCATTTGGGACAGTCATGCATTTTTCGAAGTAAACTCTGAGGCTGTTACTGTTTACGCCAGAGCACCTAAAACGGGCCAGTTCATTCTCACAATCTGGGCAAAAGAAGAAAACGACCAAATGTACCACAAATGTATTCACTATCTGCTGAAAAGCAATAAATGTAAAGCAGACGTTTCCCCCTACCCTACGACATTCAATAACTGGACGAATGGTTGCCGTCTGTATGAGCCATTGGATGGTCGCCTTGTCGCAAACCGGCGTGTTCACTTCCGGGTTGCCTGTCCGAATGCCGCAGAAGTTGTGGTGATTGCTACTCAGTGGCACAAGCTTGTTAGAAAGGCAGACGGCTCATGGGCAGGCGATGCCGACACTGGAGAACAAGGTAGAGTCCTCAAGGTGTCGACAAAAAAGCCAGGTGACACACAGTACTGGACATTGCTTCAGTATGAAGTCGTGGCATAGCTTTTGAGTTCATGTACATATGTTTGCCATTTAAGACATCCAAACCACCATTTTAAAGATGCTTTATTGCTGTGTTGTGTCATCTTAATAGTTTGTAGATTTACACTATTCCCTGTCATTGTTATGAGGAAAGACAGAATGCAATAGCAGGAAGTTTCAGTGAATGCAGATGTTTAAGCGGACGATAATGACTTATTGTATATACCATATGAATAATGTTCAAATGAATATAATTACATTTGTAAAGCACCTACTGTGATTAAACTTGCTGTACATTGAAACATTTCAACAAGTGCTCGGGGAGATGTGCTGTGGCTGTTTACAAACAAAAGAAAATATTGTTTAGATTTTTGTTATACCAGTTCTTTATTTGTCTTTTTGTACCTGTTCATTACTTCCTACGTGTGGGAAAAGTTGTAAATATGTGGGAAATTGTTTAATCATCATGTACACCAACAAATAAGACTGTAAATTGAAATGTTTTCACATTCAAGTTCAGAGGTATTTAATGAACAGTTTGTTTGCACTTATTTAGCAGCATCAACGCCTATACAATATGTACAACTCTTACTATTGTGTACAAATATTCATTATATACAAACATGCATGTCACAATATACAATGCAAATGTATCTGGTAATGGATAACAAAGTTGTATCAAGTACAGATATTACATGCATCTCTTAGCAGCGTTTACGTGTGATGTGTAGTTGTTTCATCTTTGGTATACAATATAACAAGTTTAAGTGTATCAATATTAAGCTGACTCTATTTGTATATATTTTATGGTGTACAGAAAATATTGTTTGGTAGCAGCTGACTCTGAATATCAACAGAAATTGAAATATACAGATAACACATAATAACTTGATCAACAGCCCTTAGTGCTCATAATTGATGTGCACTCTGTGATGTCATCCATGCTGTGCAGTAGGACAAGTCAAAGTGCTGTATCTTGACTCTACGAGTCAAAAATCAAAATAACAAGCACGTGCGTCAAATTGCAAAACAATCTATACAATAATAGGTAAATTTTTCAAGTTCCATGTAGGTACCAGCCTTTAAACACCGTCGTTGAAAATCTTGCAATTTTTCTTTTTACAATTTTGATTGCAACTGGACAAGTGATTTCCGCGTCTATGTATTTAAACTACCTGATAGACAAGCAGAACTTGCTCAGGCAAGTTTTCGTCCGTCTTTGACCAAAGCGTTAAACCGCCGGGTACACCCGTGTACACGTCAGCTTCCCATGATCCCTTGCTATCCTTGGTGAAGTCCTTCCGGTCGCCGGATGGGAGCATTACCCACAATCCCTCCGCTGAGGGACAGGTGACCCGGAAGCGGATGGTTTGCTTTGTTGGAAGGTTGCCATCTCTTGGCTCGTGTAGCTCATAATCTGCACAGAAAAAGTTATGGGTATTTCATTATGACACTTTCAATACCTCTAACAAAATGTCATAATAGAATGCACATCTCTAACTAGCAAATGGTACTCCTTCTATACTGTCTAATCGAAACAGCAAAGCATGAAGGCAAGTTAAAGAAACAATATTAAATGTGTACCATTTGATAATGATACACTGGCAGGTCATAGATGTTTCTAAGACAACGCCTAGGTGTAGATAACGTGTATGTCTTTAGTGGCTATAATCTTTGCCACCCCTTGCTCTTTTGCCTTAGTAAAAATATGGTTCCAGTACAAGGCTATTTTCTGTGATTGACCAGAATTAAGAACAAATTTTTATTTGAAAAATGGTATTGCACTAAGCATAATTGATTAGTGCTGTAACTTTTGTATGACGTACCTCGAGGCCACATGTGTACTAGCGGAAACGATGAACAGTCACCGGGCGCCTCATCACACCTCAGTAGGTAGTAGATCTTGTCGTCGGTGTCCTCTTCCCAGATGGACAGCGCGTAGTATCCCTCCGCGGGCAGACGTGCGCCAATCCTGATAGTCTTCCCCACAGTCTCCAAGAAGTGATGCTGAGGAGGAAGACATTCTTCTTCTACGTTTTGGATGACGCAGGAGTTGAACGGACTTTCTGTCTCTATGGTGATGCGCGCTTCCCCGGCTTTTGCAACAACAACGCCAGGTATGTGGCTGGCGTCAGAGAGTTTCCCATTGGCTAGGTGAAGCCCGGGGCCCCATAGGTAACCATGGGTCTTTGGGAAGGGTCTGAAGTTTTCTCTCGGCTGATCACATTGGACGAGGTAGCTGCAGACTTCTTCTGACTCCCAATCAGCTGTCGTTGTCCATAGCTTTAACACGTATGTGCCGGCTTCCGGCGGGAAAATTTGAATCTGTGCTTTCCCGTCAATGATTTGGTTGAAGACGTGGCCGGTGATTTCAGTGTCCTTGTCGTACAGGTTAAAGAGTTCAGTTGTAAAGTTCGTGGCTTCGGAGAACTCCAAGGATATTTGAACTTCTCCTTGCTCTGTCTTAAGCACAGCTCCCTTGTGACTGGCGTCTTTGAGAATGCCGTCTTGGATGGCTTTCCCCGGCCCGTATGGTTGCCCGTCTTCATCAACGGATGATTCCCTAGGTTCATCACAATAGATCACGTAATCACAAAGGAGTTGCCAGTCCAGATTTTCCGACACTGTGAAGATATTCAGCGCGTAGTACCCTTGTTCGGGAGGAATGACTTTGAAACACTCCTGGTCGTCGACAGTCTCGAACAGAATCGAACCTTTTAACTCATTGTCCGCATCGCCTGCTTTAAAGAGCTGGGCTGCAAAGTCTGTGTCTTCTGGTGTCTTTATCCCTATTGTGACCTCGCCGTCTATGGTGCAAACAAGAGCCCTTGGTTGGGTCGTTTGTAGTATCGTTCTTTCTTCCAGTGCCAGTCCAGGTCCCCATGCGCAACCGTCTTTGTCGGGAAAGAGTTCCACGTCATCTTTGCCTTCCTCACAATTGATGACGTAGTCACAAATGGGGTCCCAGTCACAACCGTCCGATACTGTGAACAGGGACAAGGTGAATTTACCACTAGCTCGAGCGGGTGGGACGACTCTGAAGGTTGTCTTTCCGTCCACAATGTCTGTCAAGACGGCCCCCTTGATGTCATTTTCTGCATCATCTACGCTGAAGAGTTGACCGGCGGCGTTGCTGCATTTCGGTAGCTCTACGGTGACGGTGCATTCTCCATCTTTTGTGTCGACCACCGCTTCAGTATGACTGACACTTGTGACCCTCTTCTCCCTCAGTGCGACTCCTGGTCCCCACACTCCACCGTCATTATCAGGGAAAACATCATCGTCCTCTAACGATTCTTTACAGTCAATGATGTACTCTATGAACGGATGGAAGTCTTGTTGTGTGGACCCACTAGCGTATATCTTCAACACGTAGAAACCTGACTGAGGAGGCGCAAGTCTGAAGCGAGCCGTGCCTTTCACAACCTCATGCAGCATACATCCTTTTACCATATCCTCTTCCCCGTCTTTACAGAGTTCGCAGGAGAAGTCTAGCACATCCCTGGGTTCAAGTTCAACCGTCACTTCGCCGTCTTCTGTCTGCAAGATCGCTTCTGTGTGGCTGACCTTGACCACGCCCCCTCGCTGAAGTTCAAGTCCGGGGCCCCAGAGATGACCGTCATTGTCAGGAAAGCCGGCAAAGTCTTCCTTCACAGCGCTACAGTTAACCAGGTACTCACAGACCATCTCCCAGTCTCCCTTTTCCGTTTTGCACGACAACCAAAACTTGAAAGATCCCGTCTTTGCCGGTATTACGCGAAAGTGTCCCGTACTTCCGATAATCTCATACAAAACACTTGTCTTGATCGGTGTTGTATCATCTTCTTCTGTCATTTCCCAAGAAAGCTCGACGGTTTTTGGAAGGTTAACTTTTAGGACGATTTCACCGTTTTGTGTTTCCAAGACGCCATCTTGGACACTCAGGTCGGAGGGGTGTAGGCCGCATGCGTAGAACGCGGGGGTGAGGTGGACCTCGCTTTCGAACTGGTCCAGGGTTTTGGTCTCGTCCAACAGTTGCCACTTGTCTTCCAGGGGAAGATGGTCCAGAATCATCATGTCTGGATCTAAAAAAAATATATGTAAAAATGTACGGTTAGCATTTTTTTTGGCCTCGTTATGCCATTTTTATACTATGGCTAATCTGATATACATTTTGATTTTGATTGTCATACAAGGTTTGAAAGAACATCTTCAATGCGTCGATGAAAGTTAGGCATCTAGGTAATAAGATACACACGAAAATGGATAGTTGCTTGAGTGACTCGATAGTTGCTTGAAAAATAAAATTTGGCCAGTTGCTTGAGTAACAGTTTTCTTGTGAACATCTTCAATGAGTAATACCTCAAACTATAAATACGCTGAAAACAATACTTTACACCCTTAGAGATGAAGAAAAGTCAAGAATAGGACACTCTTGCTTGTGACACTTGGGTATTTAGATATCAATACCAATACAAAGAAATATGCAGTTCATCCATAAGACATCATACCTGTCAGGAATCGGTCCTCCTGATAGTTGAAAGTGAAAGTGTTCCTCTGTAAGTCCACCACACCTGCTCCCCAGGTGCAGTCTAACAGGTACCACCGCCCGTCTATCTCCACGGCGTTCCACGTGTGGTCGTACTCCTGCTGAAACTTCCTCCCGACCCTGTAGGCGACACCCTTAGACTTCCCCCCAGATCTCCTCACAACGAAGCCCTGCAAGGCTAAGAAAGAAGACACATATATATTTAGTTTGCTCTTCTGTATCTGTATCTGTATAGCCGATATAACGGCCCTTCGGCATAACATACCAGCTTCGCAGGCACGTGGCGTGATGATATTTCAATTTATTGTCGTAAGGTTGTCGTACGACAATTCAATTCAATTTAACGTCGTAAGCTTGTCGTACGACAATTCAATTCAATTTAACGTCGTAAGCTTGTCGTACGACAATTCAATTCAATTTATTGTCGTAAGCTTGTCGTACGACAATTCAATTTACTGCCATAAGCTTGTCGAACAACAATTCAATTTACTGCCATAAGCTTGCCGTACGACAGTTCGATTTACTGTCATGAGCTTGTCGTACGACAGTTCAATTTAACGTCGTAAGCTTGTCGTACGACAATTCAATTCAATTTATTGTCGTAAGCTTGTCGTACGACAATTCAATTTACTGCCATAAGCTTGTCGAACAACAATTCAATTTACTGCCATAAGCTTGCCGTACGACAGTTCGATTTACTGTCATGAGCTTGTCGTACGACAGTTCAATTTACTGTCGTAATCCTGTCGTACGACGAATATGTGCCGCGGAACCTGCATGCTTATGTAATGGTAACGGCGGTGTTTGAAGACTTGTATTGTAATGAGACAGAACAAATATGTGCCCTTGTGTTGTATAACGCCATATAAGACCACAACTGAACCGACACGTGGTTTTCAATGCCGCGCACACAGTGTGTGAATGGCCGTGTTTGCACTGGTGGCATGCCCGTACTGACCTGTTTTACTGCATGGGTTACACTATTGACTTTACGCATTTAGAGGGATGCCTGAATGGCTGCATTTTCGCTAAGTCATTCGTGGCCACAAGACAAAGACAGCACGTTCCCTTTCAGTCTAGAAATAACCTGGGAACAGCATTTGTGGCCATTCTAGCATTACCTTTCCCAGGGTGGACTAACTTGACAAATGTTTTTCTTATGTCCAAGATGTTATCTCTAAGAAAAAAGAATTGGCCTACCTGCACATCTTCTTGTAGAGTGTGGAGTACCCCGTACAGACGGCACTGCGTCTGGTAAACACTGCTTCAGCTGTCATGTCGGGATAGCTGGAAAATATACTCATGTTTTAGCAGGGATTCCGACATCACTTTCCTCTATCGGTATCAAAAGAAGCCACAGTACTCACGGCATAGTTTCATGCACCAGAGATATATGAAAAAACTCATATGCCTTTCAAAGGTGTCCATGGTCCGTCACTTGTTGTTTTAGTCCATTTCTTCTTAAATATCATTTCAATAAGCAGTAAAATAGACAAACAATAGACTTTTAAATTGCATAAGAAATGTCGGTTTAATATCTTTCACATATTTTACAAAAGATGTCTTTTTGCTCCACACTGAATACTGTTATAATTGTGCAACCATCTCAGAGTTATAGTGACATACGTTAATCTCTATTTCTAACTGCATGACAACCCACCTTCCGGACAGGAATGCCGGTACGTCATACTCTATCCTTGCGGTCATCCATCGCCAGACAGCCCGGGCCTTCTCCAGGTCCGTGCCGGCACGGCGCAACAAGTAGTCTACCGTCTTTTCTATGGACCCTTCCTCACTTTCAGGCGTCTGTAAGAAATATGTGACCAGAAAACTTTGGAACCAGGAAAAATTCCCACATTTCTTTCATTTTGAAGATAAGCATGATATACTTAATACATGTGCGTATTTTATACGAATTTTTGAAATCAGTATATTCTAAATGCTTAAATTTTTCAAACAAAAAAAAATGCTACACTATTGAGAGGTTTACTTTTTAAGTTTGATATTTGTATCTACGTATATTATGATATCCTACAGTATACTTTAAATACAATAAGGTATACATTAACTAGTACGAGAAAAATGAATTAACAGCACTTTACCTTCAAGGCATATTCGTCGAGGTCTTTAAAGACTCCAAGGTCGGGAACTAATTGTTTCTTAGGGATTCCAAGAAGCGGAGAGTCTCCGTCTTGTAACACCGTCTCCTTCTCCGGAGAGTCGCCGAGAAGCACCACGATGCTTGCCGGGTCCACCCGAGGACCCGACGGCGGCTCTTCGTGTTTTCTCGGGCGCCGGCTCCGTTTCCGAATCCTCTTGACCACTCGTTTGGATTTTCTCTTCATTTCCACAATTGCGTGCCAGCTCAGGACTTTGTTTCTCGACTTCGTGACCAGATATTTCTGTCGTGTGATCCTTACCTTCTTTTCCTCAGCCTTGCTGCTTTTGGACGTTGTTGTCTTCTCTAATTTGTCCGAGTCGCCGACATTTTCGTCTATTATTTTCCCGACCACGCGTCCATTGTCTACCGTCATGACGAGGGGTTGGAACGATGCCTTACTTATGCGGCCATCTTGTTGTCCCGTAGGCGGTCGGACGTCCCGCGAACCAGCGCAGCCCATGTTGGCGACTCCACGCGGCTTCTCAGCCGTAAAAATGTCACAAAACTCGCCACAAAATACCTGCACGCTCAGCCATGATATTTCTCCTGAGTCACGACAGGTGGATACAATCTCCAGCGCCCTCAGGTATCATTCCGACAGAAGACTAGAGAATGTGATCACCTGTCTTTTGTTGACGACAATGGAAGGGGCGTGTCTGTTGTGCCCTGTTGCACCTAGCTACCCTAGAAACCTCCAACATGGCGGCGCGCGGGGGAAAAAAGTCGTCTGACATCTGACGAAAATGATTAGCGCGCCAATTGTGTCTCGTGTGAGGAACGTAATCAAATAATTCTGTTTCTATCCAATAATACTGGACACAAAAGGCACAGACATTGAGTTTAAGCCAGATATTTAACATGAGAGTCCAGTCTAATCACTTGTTGAGGTATTGTATGGGTGACCTCCAGTGTAAAATATGACGTCACTCCTGTCAGTCGCCCTCTAGGTCATTTACAATACTGCACCCATGTTTGATAAGACAACAACTTGGCTCCTACGGAACACTTAGACGTCCTTCTGTAGTACTTGAATGACTTCGTGTCTTAACTCTTTAAACAACGTACCCGCACCTATATTTACATGTTGTTTTATGCAGTTGATCGCGTAAGACATTGAGTTTGCTTTTGTCTCAAAAACTATGGCAACTAAAATATGGTACCGACAGACTTAGTCTCCGTCTGCAAGACGTCCATATGTATGCTCCGCCTTATTACCTACACTGTGTACTGTACTAATACTATACCACTTAACTGTATTTGTTGCCACTACAGCGTCCATTTTTCAATCAATCGTGCTATGGGTGATACAGATGGATTCATTGATAAGATTTCGGTACAATGACTAGTGCACTGTGTCCTGGCATTTCTGTGCCCTTTGTATCTCTCTAATTTTCTGTCACACAAGCCTAATGCCAACACTAACCATTGTTACAAATGACCTAGTTTTTTTACGTAATGTTAGTACTCATTGCGGTATCCTTTAAAAAGCTTTATGTTTTAGATTGTTTGATAGATTATTTTTCTTCACTTCAAATTATGTTATTTTATCATTGTGATGAATAGAATAAGTGTGTGTTAATTGCTTATTAATGAGGCTTATTATGTAACGTTGAATGTAATGTTATCCTAAATGGAACGCATATGTCAACAGAGACCGATATGTGTGCAGTAGGCTGTATTGTACTAGTGTTGAGCGAACTGGGTCAGACGGCAGTCCATTTGGATAGCGATTACTTACAAGAGGCGGTATCTTTTGAACGCATATTGCAGCGTCTTACTGAAATATCTTACTGTCGTCGTTGTGCTATCTGTCAAATGTCCAACATACCAGAGAAACATTTTTCTTCTGATTTTCAAAGTCATTTTTAAAGCTGAAAGCAGAGTATTTTCCAAGACTGTTCATGGTTGCTATAGTATAACTTCATTACTGACATGCCTTCGGTAATTACTTGGCAGGTTCTGTCTAAACCGATAGGTGGCGTTTGTAGACCATGTCAGTGTCCATTGCTTGTGAGGCAAATTTGTATGTACACGTAGAACAACGTATGTAAACATGTGTGACAATAAGCACTACATTGACTTTTCACAGTTTAATATCAACGAAAAATCAACTAAACAATACACCGAAACAGCTAGCTACTAGTAACTATGTCAAATGTAGATAGCACACGGCATACACATTTGAAGTATTTCTTGTTAACCATCGATACAATTGTTGTTAACATCACATTTTGTGCCAAGAAATCAATCGACATAGGTGATAGTTTACAGATCAGTCGATGATGCTTATCAATCATATTTACACAAGTACAAGAGTATTTATGATCTCAGCTCTATCATTTAGAATGATAAAAGTTCAAGGTATTGATATATATTATATATGTACAACTATTTTAGAACATCGTCATGTGAAAGCTCAAGGAATACCGATTTTGTACAAATTCCTCAACGGCTGTCAGGACAAGACGCACAATAGGGGGTTCCTCAGGGTTCGATCCTCGGCCTACTTTAGAAGCTTAACTTCGCGTTCTTTTTAAACTTGTTTGCTGCCTTGATGGTGACTAGCGGCGTTGACCATACTCCCGCAACTATCTCTCCCGGCGAAGGAGACCAGAATCTCTCCCCTGTCTTCGTGTCGTAGACGTACTCTCTCCCTGTCACTGAGAAAAAAACACAACAGGCAATTGTACAGTCAGTAGATTTGTGAATATCACTCAGTGTCTACTAGTATAAATAAACTGTGCACTTACTGAATTCTATGACATATCGCGAGACAAGCTCTGTTGTAGAAATTCGCAGACGTGTATAAGGTTTTACTCACGGTACGATCCTTGGCCTACTTTTGAAGTTATGTTTGCGTTCTTTATAAACTTGGTTGCATCCTTGATGGTGACTATATAGTCTATCACTAACTAATACAATCACATGTACTTACCGGGGTCTATGGCGTAGTCGTCGTTTGGACCACGGGGTCTTGGCGCCCTCGGTGTCTTCTAAAATGTGGAACATAGGATATATTACAACATAGCAAGTATGAAACATAGAAGATACAAAGCTGTACGATATTTCTTGCTTCTGACTATGTAAAATCCATTTCTCTGTTTTGAGGACATCGTTGATTGCATGACATCAACTAGCGTTAAAAGAATACAAAGAAAGGTGGCAAAATCTACACTCATGTTAGAACTGCTTTTTAAATATTAAAATATACTTACGTTATTGTTTGGAACAGCCCCAGGCAGGGTGGCGTTGAAGGAGCTTGCCGCGGCTCCTGCGCCAAGTCCTGCGGCTACCCCGGCGCCTGCTCCCGCTCCTGCACCGGTCCCCGCCCCTGCTGCTGAACCTGAAAATTTGCTGCTGGCGGTAACGGGAGCCTTCTGTCCCGCCCCTCCGCCGTTCTTTAGAATTGACTTTTTCCCGGCTGCGTTGTTGCTGCTCGCTGCCGCGGCTGCAGCGGTGCCACCGCCGGCGACTCCCCCCGCTACAACACCCGCCGCTGTAGCCGTGTTCGGTCCGAAGGCTTGTTTCGGCGCTTTGTTGTACGGTTCGAGTTCTATGCCCTTGCCACTACTGGAATAGATGGTAACGTGTGAGTATATTGACTATACATAGCGGGTATGGGAGATAGGCATCAATTCCTTTTCGCAACACAAAAAGTACATTATGAAGAGACAAGTCTTTCACTTGTTACACTTACATGGATCCATAATAATTTGACTGAATACTGGTATAGATTTTAAAAATTGCATCATATTTTTACCATTAATGTTCGTGTTGAAACAATTTACCTTTATTGGATACATTAATACAAGAAAAAGAATGTTTATTGCAAATATTTGCCCGAGGGCTAATTACAGTTACAAACAACATAGAAAGAAAATACAGTGGTATGTGAGACTATATCTACTTCTAACATTATACTATATTCTACAACATGACATGACACTAGTTTTACTGGGTTTGACTTCTTCTTTTTAGGCAATGGAAGACGAATTTACCCACTTCTTCTATAATATGTGGGTTCTTTGATTTTAGTAGTAAAATTGTTTTTTTTTGTCGTAGGGAATGGTGGGGAAGTAAGGCAGCATTTTGGTCACGGTGGTAATATAACAGTACCTGTACATCATCATCATAAATTTCATAGTCGGATATACAATCATATAGATCTTTTGTGAGACGAGAAGTAAAAAGATGAAGCTCTTTTTTCCTTTTTTTCTATGGAATCTATACTGTTTTAGGGGGACATACTTCTTTCCATTGTTTATCTTCTGGTTGTTGGCCTTCAGAGGGTTCGATTCGCCGTCGGCAACTTTCGGCTTTCTCCGGCAAGTGGTGTACACACAGTAGGCCGCCATCGCGATGACAAGTAGCGCCAAAAGGCACAGGAACACCACGGCGATGATGCTCTCTGTGAGGCTTATCCAGGGCGTGGGTACTGTCACGGTTGTCGTGCCTTGTGTTGCTGTGTTGAAGAGAAATGTATACAAGCAATGATCAGCTACCTGCTGTGTAGTATGGTGGTCACAACAAAACCGATAGAGGGCGTTTCTAAGCCGTTGTTGCTGATGCCTCTAATAACTAGTCTCTAAATCAGTATAATCGAAGGGTATATAACATACAAGCAATGATCAGCTACTTGCTGTGTAGTATGGTGGTCACAACAAAACCGATAGAGGGCGTTTCTAAGCCGTTGTTGTTGATGCCTCTAATAACTAGTCTCTAAATCAGTCTAATCGAAGGGTATATAACATACAAGCAATGATCAGCTACTTGCTGTGTAGTGTGGTGGTCACAACAGAACCCCAAAAGGCGTTTCTATACCGTTGTTCTTGATGCCTCTAATAGCTAGTCTCTAAATCAGTCTATTCGAAGGGTATGCAGGTGGATGTTGGTGATGGCTCATACCCCAACTGGGAACTAACTAGTATAACCACATAAACTGTTATTAGAGGAGCAGAAGACGACATAACGAGGAAGACAAACAGTTTGTGACTACACTTTGTGTGTCTTTTGTCTCTTGGTTATCCTTCATCGTGGCTGTAGTTGCAGTCAATTATTGCGACTATTTCTGATTACAGCTGAGATTTCCTACAGAATACACGATTATAAGTAGCAATACTGCCGTACTTACTGAGTTGTATGGCGGTGTTTCAGACTATATCTTTGACATTGCTCATTGCATCATTAGAGATTTATAAGATAGTAATACTGCCGTACTTACTGAGCTGTATGGCTGTGTATACCGCTATGAAGCCCTGGTACGTGCCGGCTCCGTCAGACGTGAAGGAGACGGACATGGTGTTACCCGAGGACGTGAAGCTGGCGGGAACACTCTGGCCACAATACGTACCTGGAGAATAGACAAATAGTTGGTCGCAACGTAACTGTCTTACCTACTCGTGGACCATATTTTCTTTGTCAGAGATATTTTCGTTTACAGAGAGTTGAACTTAACGAATACACCTACGTAACACTGAAAGATTCCTCTTTCTAATGAGTTTAGACAAACCTTTGATCATAAAACATATCCGTTCATACATTTCACAATCCCCCCCAAAATATCGCAAACCGAGAAAAAGCCGAATTCCCTTACTAGACTATATAGTACTAGTGTAAACTTGAGTATGTACACATGTATCTGTAAACCATTATTTTGTTGAGACCTGTACTTAACCTAGTGTGTATGTACAAAAGAGGCCTTCGTTCATTCAATCACACCTACCTGCTAAAGTCTTGAATGTTCCCGTCCCCTCATACACGTTAACGTAGTCCTTGGTACAGTTAGGATCGCTGGGCTCCATGCTGAAGGCATGCATCTGTAAACTACTCCTGTACTTACCAGTGTGTATGTACAAAAGAGTTCATACCTGCTAAAGTCTTGAAGTTCCCCGTCCCCTCATACACATTGACGTAGTCCTTGGAACAGCCCGGATCGCTGGGCTCCATAATGAAGGCATGTATCTGTAGACTATTCCTTTGTTGAGACCTGTACTTAAGCTAATTTGTATGTATTAAAGATGTCTATAATCATCCATACCTGCTAAAGTCTTAAAGGTGCCCGTCCCCTCATACACGTTAACGTAGTC